CAGAACATGTTGCAGTTGACTTATGAGCTTTAATACTTGTTGTTGAATGTCTACAAATTGCTCTTTGTTTAACTGATAGCAATCTCGTAGACGAAACAAATTTCGTTAATGCAACCATCAACAAGAAAGTACGAAGATAATTTTGTCTCTCCCGTGAAACTCAAAAGAGTGCAGAAAATTCACAGTAAGACGATCGTTTATCTAAGTGATTCTATCTCTGACCTCAAACCAAGCAATGAACACATTATCCATGAAAGGTTCGAATTAAACAACAACCCACGCTAAGAATAGCAAGGACACTATTCAATATACTCGATCAGTCATCATTCAAGAGACTCAAGAAAGGTAGGAGCAAACAATGCTCAACTATGAAGGAATACTATTGATTATTAATCTTCATAACCAACCAAAGATATGTAACACATATACTATCTCAAAATGCTTATGCCAAAGCACAACTCATCCAACAAAAGTAGGACAAACCCCATAATGGAACTCAGGAAGACACTCATCATGAAATTCGAACACCAAACCAAAAGAAAGCCTCATCAATCGAACTACTAGAAGTAGTATGAAAATAAGAAGTTTTGTTTTAAAACAATTCCATCAAGAAGCATACTTGAAAAAGAATGGTTTATGCAAGATCAAAAAGATCCAAGACAAGATGAAAACCCTCTTGGTTAAATCATAATTGACACGAAAAATGGATACTTCATTTAACAAAAATTCCTCCCAGGAAAAACTCTCAAAAGAGACAACAAAAATGACCACTCAAGGGTCCTTTTGATTTTCGGCCATGCCCCCTATTTATAGGCTTAGGAAATTCGGCCAGCACCACTAAAAGAAAATCAATTAGGACTCTCTAATCTTATCTCACAAGGAGTAGAAGTAGAAGAGTATTCGATCTCTTTCACTCTATCTAAAATCTAGGAAACCTTATCTAAATGACTTATCCTCGAGTAGGATAATATCTAGAAGCAATCTAAGACTCCTAATCAAAACACTCTAGTTTTATTCAGCCCACATGGCTTATCTAACTAGATAAAATTTTGAAAATAACTCCTAGATTTAGACAACAACTAAATCTCGAAAATCAGCTCCCAAATTGTTGAAGTAAAGTGTCTTGAACGCCCTTCCAAAAGTGGAATATTGGTCTTGTGCCCCTTAAGTTGTAGAAAACTCCAATTTACTCCAAAACTTGTAGAATTCTCTTTATTGACTCCAAAAGATTGGAAAAACACTTGAAACAATTAAGATAGTTTGCAACCTATCCAATTGTGTAGCAATGGACTCAATCTTGAACACATTGATCAAATAGGTCGTCCATTCAAGAACCTAAATGACTTTTCTCACTAGCTTGATCAATGATCTTCATGGAGCACCTAGAGTCAAACTCTCTTGATACTCTTGAGCACTTATTTCCATGAGGTCATCATCTCCTTTGGTTTGAACCCGAAAGTTAATGACATTCTCATCATCTTGATCATAGCTCTCTTGAACCAACTCCCAATCACATAGGTAGTCAAGATCCATCCTTTCTTCCTTGATTGGCCTGCAAAGTAAACTTGGCATTCCAAAACTAGAATGAAGGACTAGCTCATTCCCCTCACTAGGAGAATCACCATGGAAGGCTACATGATTCTCATCATTAACTTCTTAAGCTTATGCTTCAATCTTTTGAGTTTACTCACTAGTTGGAACATAGCTGTGCTTTTGATAGGCTCTTGCCAACTATCTCCTACCAGATTTATAAACTTCTCAGATGGGCTCCACATGTTGAAAACCTAAATTTTTTAGGTATTTGTTACCTTACTTCCTCAAGGTCAACCAGAATCGGGGTGTGATCCGACAGTCCTTCATTCAGATCAGTTGCTAAAGCATGTGGGTAATCCATCATCCAGTTGACATTCACCATAGCCTGATCAATTCAGGAATAAACTCTGACTATCTCCGCCTGTTTATTGGACCAGGTAAAAAGTTCCCCCCACTGCTTCAAGTCTTGCAGTTCACATTCCTCAATACATTTGCAAAGCCCTAGAATTTCCACTATATTCACTAGGTTCCTGCCTATTCTTCCATCTTCAGCAAGGTGTTGTCATCATCTATCACCAACCGTGCTAATTATATACTGCTGGCTATCACAACAACTCCTCCCATAGTGTATCCTTTTCCTCTTTCAAATTATTTGCATAGATGGTAGTACAGAAAACGGAACTTCTGCTATTAACTACCTCAACCCAACAGTGCATATACTTTCTATTCTTTTGAATAATCCTAAGTTAAAAGTTATTAGGATTCCATAACAAGCAAATTCTATCTTTTTCATCATGTATACTATTTACATCATAGTTAAATCCCTGCCAAAACTTTCTCACCATTTCCTCTACTTTGCTACTAGTCATTTTAGTTTCCACACCACATATCATATTTGGTTTATACATACTACTAACTCTTAGTAATTATTGTTGGAATTCTACTTCAAGAATAGTGGACAACAATGGCTGCACTATATCAAAGAACAAAAGGAAGAATTTATGGTTAGGACAAAAGAATGTTTTGTCTCCAAGTCACAAGTAAACTTGCTTTCCTTTAGGCTAAATTCGCCCACTATACCGTGCAACATGGTAGCTTTCCTAATACCTGATTCATTGTTATTTTAGTTGATATGATTTCGAACATGGACTTGATGCTTTGTCCATTTTCCACAATGTGGACTTAGGTCAAGGATCATTCTCCTTTTTAACTTTAATAGAGAATTTTCTTCAAACTCTTTTATTATGTATAAAACTCTTCAAACTCTTCAAACTCTTTTGTCATTCTCTTCAAACTCTTTTATTATATATAAAGAGTTCCAAGTTTCCAAACATATAATCTCCTTTTTTCTTTGAGATCTCATGGAAACTTTAAAGTATTGACATAAACAGCTCAAACATATAATAAGGCATGAATTTCAAATCATATATTACCGCCACTACAACAATATCCCCCTAATATGACACATCTATTGGGACACTTTCAACAAAAATGTCCCAAAAAAAATTATTGAGACACTCACTTCAAAGTGTCCTATTATTATCATCTAAGAGGACATATTTATGTGTCTTTATTAAAATGCGTCCCAATATAGGTTAGGACATATAATAACGTCCCATTATTAATTATATTGGACACTTTGAAGCGTCCTTTTTGTCTGGCTATTCTAGTTGAAGTTCTTTCTTCTATATTGTCACTTTTAGTTATTAATAATTCCTTTGTGACACCCTAAAATTTATGAATATGCCCACAAGAGATTTGTTTTTTCATTATTAACCCTTTCCTCAATTTAAAAATTGTTAATTTGGCACCCTAATATTTATCTTTTTGTCCAATAAATTTTAAAGCAACTCTTACAACAATAATGATTTCTCTAATTACGTACGAACAATGTTGATAAATAACATTTCTAAATTGTAAGAAAAAATTACAACATTCCACAAATATTAAAATATTACAATAATATATGTGATACTGATGAATAAGTTTGCAACATGTGTTCATTTTTTCAACAGTGTGTAACATAATACACATGAATAACATATTACTTTTTATATATATCAATTCCTACGGATTAGAGTTTCACTTGTATAGTCGTTGAGTATGAGATCGGATTCCGATTGATAGTCAATAAACAGTTTCAATTAGAAAGTTTACATATGCAACGAATTGATCACTGATAATGACACTAGTTGTGCGCCTCTTGATAGCCGCATATACACTATAGGCAATGATTTAATGCCAAGTGCAAACTAATTCCTATGGAATACTTCACATGATACTTATAATAAGATATTTTAATTTATCATAAATTTCATTTATCGTGTTTACAATTGAAATTAAAATTTGTAACAATTAAAAATTACTTATAATAAGGACATGAGAAAGTACTACTAATATAAAATTTGCCGAAATGAGAAAATCAATGGGGGCAAAGAACTGAAAAAATTAACTTATAATCTTTTTGCACGATTACATGAGATTTTTTTTGTTATCTTTATTCTATCTAGGGAGACAAAAAAAATTTATACAAGGAAGTATTATAAGTCCTAAAAGAGATTTGACCTATAAATTATATATACACACGATAACAATAAATAAATAAGTAACATAAAAACATTGATCCCTAAAAAAATGATATTGAAAAATTAATGACAATTTGAAAAAATAAATTTAGAAAAAGCAAAATGATATTTTGACTTACATAAATTTGATGGATTTTATATCCTTTCTTATCAGGGATAAAATATGGGTTTTTTTTAATTGAAATTAGAAAAAAAAATAAAAACAAGAAAAGCACAATTAGCCATCAAAATGGCGCGATAACGAAACCTTAGCCCAAAAAAAAAAAGGCGCCAAGAAAAGTCTCGAATTGGCGCCCTCGATGTTATCGCTTAAAGAACTAAAATAATTAGTTGACCTCAACTTCACTTCCTCACTTAAAACAAAAAAAACAAAAATACTTTTCTCTTCCTCCAATCCAGCCGAAAACCAAAAAGGTATTGCCCCTCATTTCAATGTCAGTTTCAATTTTATCTCAATTTCAACTTCAATTTCAGTTTCAGCCAACTAGGGCATATCATCTTAGATTTATGGCTTGATTTCTTGTAGGAATACCTCAGTTTGGAAGAGTTTATTCAATACTTAGCCATTTCTTGGGCTTGCCAAACCCAAGTAAGTTCTTTTTCTCCAATTGTTGAATAATACACTGGTTGATGTGTTCTAGAGCATTTTTTTTTCTAATAGGATGAAGATTTACTACTGAACCAGGGAAAAAAAAAATGTATCGAAGAGGATTAATTAGAAACTGTATTACAAACCAGAAATAAAGGAAAGGATAGATAGAGGGGATAAAAAAGGCAGGACATTCACTTAGTTTATCTTATTGTTTCCTAAAGGGATTCCAAAGTTAAAGATGTGAATCTGTAGCCCTATTTGAAAAAAAAATTGACTCTTTGTTTGCAGCAATGGCTCCTAAATCCCGAAGGTCTGTCACAAAAGGGGGATTTAATCATGGATTAAGAGATGATGAAATTGAAGAGCTTGAGCACCAGCCACCAAAGAATTTGCACAATGAAGTACCTCAACAACAAAATAAGGAGCAAGGTTAGAAATTTTATATGTGGAAAGTACACAGTATCACATGAAACCTCTCTTCCTACATTTTTGTTTGTATTTTCTAATCTACTGCATAAATAGAGGATTAGTACTTTACATATGTTTGCTATATATGTAAAATATATTAGATAATAATTGACTACACCTTTTCTATATATGTAGGGATGGTTACAAGGACAAGGAAATCAATGCAATTTCGAGGAACAAGTCATGGACAGCAAAATTCACCAAACAATTATCAATCATTCCATCAATCAACAGAAACACAACCAAACCTAGAAAATTGTCAACAACTTGAGAAACAAGGTCATCCTATAGTTATGGTTTTCTTTCACTTATATGTGTTATTCTTTATTATTTAAGTTTTGTTCTATCATGAAAAAATATTTAATTTTTGAATCAAACATTTATTTCAGGGAAAGCAAGAGGTGTCCGAGGGCCTACAATGCTGAAATCAATGTGGGTGACAGTCCCTGGTGAAAAGACGATCAAGATAGATATGAACGCCAAAGGTCAACCAATTGGTCCCAATAAGAAAACTTTTGTTGAGTTTTTGGGTACAATAGCAAGAACTCCAAAGTTCACTCCACTTGAGGTTGAGGATTGGCACAAGGTTTCAGAAGTTAGAAAGAAAGAAATAATAGGCATTGTGAAGGTATTACAGTTGTTTCATCTTTTCTAGGATCGTTTGGTTTTTGTTAAAACAAAGATCGTAGTTGTAGTTATATTTTAACATGTTTGTAGGCTAAATATGATATTCCCCCTGGTGGAGAACATTGGATCTTGAGATCACTAGGCAAAAAGAGGAGGAGTTGGAAGAATAGGGTGAAGACACAATGTTTTGATCCTACATTAACAACTGAGGACAATGCACCCAAAAGACCAGCACGAGTTGGGGAAGACCAGTGGAAGCACCTGCTTCCTTATTGGGCTGAGGAAAAAACAAAGGTACAAAGCATGCTTCTGATTGTTGGTTTCGAACTTGTTTTCATCTTTTTGGTCATATGGTAAATCATTAAGATAAGCCCTGTTCTGGAATGAATATATTTAGGAACGTGCACAGAAAAATAAAGAAACCAGGAGAAATCTGAATATGCACCCCACTACGGGGAAGCGCAGCTTTGCAGAAGTTGAAGAAGATTTGGTAAAACAATGCTTGCCTTGTTGCAATTGTCCATTATTTGACTACATAGACTTCATAGGAATTTATAAATATATCATATTTTTTTTAGAGACTAGAATTGGGTCATGTTCCTTCACGTTCGGAGCTGTTTGTTGAATGCTTTGGAGATTCTGAAGGCAATCCTCCGAATGAGGCAGTTGCAACAACATTTGTAAGAAATGATAATATATTTAAATGTGACTTATGTAAGTATTAGCAGCTTTAGTTTGATGTTCACTTAGTGCGTGTGTCTGTTTGGGTGATTGTTTAGGCAAAGATAAAAGTGGCCCAATCAACATTGCCCCCTGGATCTCAAGACCCCATCAGTCCTAATGATTCATTTGCACAAGCTAGGGGAAAAGATCCACCTGGTAGGGTGCGTATGGTTGGATTAGGTGTAGCTCCTTGCAATGTTTGGGGTGGCATTCCAAGTCGTAATGCCTCCAATCGCATGGTTTTGCAACATCAAGAAGACATGAACAGAATGAAAGTCGTATTAGATCAAAATACGCAATTAATGGCAAGTCTTCAAGAAAGGTTAGACTCGCAACAAAGAATGATCGACAGTACCTCCCGTGGTAATTTTTTCCCAGGCCAATCGTCTAACTCAGTTGATCTACAGAAAACTTTGAGGGTATTAATGTTCATTGACTGATTTTTTTAGTTCTTTACTGATATTATTTTCTTTTAATTGAACCAACACATCCTTAAATCATCTTTATTTCATTTTTTGGTTTTGCACTAGGAGAAAGATGTAGTCTTCTTGAAAAGTGCACAAGAAAATGGTAAAATTGTGGCCAAAGGGAAACTTCGAAGCCTTGATCCAAATAAAGAGGTTGGAGGATTACGACTTGGCAACTTGTGGTGTGAAGTTCACATCGATCGGGCTATTGAATGGGATGAAGAGTTGCTATTGCCATATTCGAATTTATACACCATTGTAGAAGCAGTTGGAACATCTGTTGCTTGGCTTCGCAACTTGGTAATCATCTCTAATTTGATGTTTAAATCATCCAGCTAGCAACAATATTTCATTTTTGTGCAGCTACCTGATTTTGTTCTAATTGACTCTCAGTAGATGCATTAGGCTCATTCTTGTCAATGTCTTAAACGCAGGTTGCCAATGACGCTGCGCAAGAATGACTTGTTGATTTGGTGGAAGCACACTCTCTTGTGTTGATCCCTTTTGTTGAACCTGGAGAGCTCCTAATCCCTTTTGTTGAAGCTGGAGATGTCCTAATTCCTTTTGTTGAAAACTTGAAGTTGGGAAGATATGGAAGTCTGTATATTACTCTTAGAAAATGTGTATTTAGTCGAATGATTGTCTTCTGTTATTTAAAGTTAACGTAGGAAATATGGAAAATTTAAGCATTTGAAGATGCTTTAGTAAGAAACTTTAATTTCTTTCTTTATTTTTTATTTTTTGTATTTTGATTGAAAAAGACAATCCAGTGAAATAATATAGTCAACTATGAAGTGCTACAACAAAGAGAATTTGTTCATAAAAAAAATTAAAAAAAAAATGAATTGGACTTTTTAACTATTTTAAATTCTCACAATTTTTTGATTGGAATGAGATAATGAGGACTGCTTATCAAAGAATTATTACTATAAATTTTTTTTTACCTAAAAGGCTAAAACGAAAAGGGTATGAATTGAACGAAGAAAAAAGAAACAATACTTTTTCCCCTAAACCCTTGTCGCCACTCTTGTTTTCTATTTTATTTTTTTCTCCTAGCCATAAAGTGCGCTTGTCATTTGGATTTCTCACTTTCTAGACCTTCACCCACCTAAACTCATCCAAATCTACGGGCAGCTTCTCAATCTTTCATTATGTAAAATCCGGTCATCGATTGCAAAATTGGATCTTTGGCCAATTTTTTTCTTTTCACCCATGACAATTCGCACAGATTGTCAATTGTATCTCCATTTGTTTTCCAAGATTTTGCCCTAAGATATTCAATTGAATAGGTGACTTGAATATTTTGAGCATGTATTCTATCTAGATTGTGCTAGGATTGATACCCTTTTGAGCATGCGTTCTGTTTGGATTGTCCTAGGAGTGATTATTTCTACTTCAAGTAAGTACTATGTTCTAAAATTCTATTGATTTAATTTTCCAACATTGGGTATGCTATATGTATCAGTTTATAGAAATTCACCGTATGCTTTTTTTTTTCCTTTTTTTCTACTCATAGCTTTTGTATATTTTGTACATATAAATATTAGACATTTGCTCAAGTACTAATAACGGATTAATCATTTAAGCTTTTGTAAATGTTGCATATTTTGAATATTAGATATTGGCTAAACTACTAATAGTGGATTAATCATTTAGGTTATATCCGTCCATTTTGAATTCTCCAAATGAACATGGATAAGACTTGGATGAAGTTTCCAAGGAATAGTCACATCTATACGGAAGGGTTAAAAATGTTTCTTGACTTTGCTTTCTCTCGTACTGGTGGGGATGGAACAATACTATGTCCTTGTAAGAAATGCAATAATGCTGTTTGTTTAAAGAGGGAGGAAGTAGAAGATCATTTGAAATGGATAGGTTTCATAAAAAACTATACATAGTGGATAGTTCATGGTGAAACATCACATCATGGTGAGACAAGTCAGTGTGGTGCGACAAGTGTTATTGACAATATGGAAGATTTGCTTAATGATGTATTTATGAGATCACATGGAGATGTTGAAATGGGAGAGAATGAAGGTGTTAGAGTTGAAGAACCTAATGCAGAAGCTATGAAGTTTTACAAACTAGTTGAGGATTCAAAAGAAGAGTTATGGCCAGGTTGTACAAAGTTTTCAAAGTTATCATTTTTGGTGCGGTTGTATCATCTCAAGTGTCTCGGTAAAATGTCTAACAATGTTTTCACTATATTACTTGAATTATTGAATGCAGCTTTTCCAGATGGTGTAAAATTGCCTAAATCTTATTATGAGGCAATGAAAATAATTGGACAATTGGGGCTTAATTACAAGAAATATGATGCATGTCCAAATGATTGCACACTGTATTGGGGTGAAGATGAGGGTCTAACGAGTTGCAAGACATGTGGTGAAACAAGATGGGCTGTTTCTGATGGAGATCCAGAGGGAAAGAAGAGAAAGATTGCACATAAGGTTTTGTGGGACTTCCCTTTGAAGGATAGATTACAACGTCTATTCATGTCCTCAAAAACTGCAAGTTTCATGACATGGCATGAAAAAAGCCGAAATAAAGATGGTCATTTGAGGCATCCGGCAGACTCTTTAGCTTGGAAGTATTTTGATTATAAAAATCCAGATTTTGCTACAGAGCCACGAAATGTCAGGCTAGGTTTGGCGTCAGATGGTTTTAATCCTTTTAAGACTATGAGTTCTGTGTATAGTACTTGGCCGGTTTTATTGGTTCCTTATAATTTGCCTCCATGGATGTGCATGAAACAACCGTATATAATGATGTCATTGCTCATACCTGGTCCATCTGCTCCGTTGAATAACATTGATGTTTATTTGAAGCCATTAGTAGCAGAGTTAAAGGAATTATGGGATGTTGGTCTTGATACATTCGATGCATCATGCAATCAGAACTTCAAGATGCGAGCATCAGTATTATGGAGTATTAGTGATTTTCCTGGCTATGCTAATTTGTCTGGATGGAGCACTAAAGGAGAGTTTGCATGTCCCGTATGTAACAAGGATACTGAATCAAAATGGCTAAGAAATAGTAGAAAACATTGTTACATGGGCCATCGTCGTTTTCTAGAAAAAGATCACCCATTCCGAAAAGAGGCAAAGTCATTTGATGGAAAGAAAGAATTTAGAAATCCACCTCTTAGGCAGAAAGGTTCTAGCATCTTGGCTGATTTGGATGGAGTTGAAATCAAGTTTGGTAAAAACATAGATGACAATCCAAATTTGCCATATGGTTGGAAAAAGAAGAGTATTTTCTTTGACTTGCCCTATTGGAAAGATCATTTGCTTCCTCACAATCTTGATGTTATGCACATTACAAAAAATGTTTGTGAGAGTATTATGGGGACACTGTTGAATTTGGATAAAAAAAGCAAGGATCATTTAAAGGGGCGACAGGATTTAAAAGAGTTGGGCATTCGGCAAGAGCTTCATCCAATTGAAGTGGAAGAGGGTTCAAATAAATTTTACGTTCCTCATGCATGCTTTACCATGGAGAAAAAGGAGAAGGAGCTATTTTGTAAGACTTTAAAAGATGTTAAAGTTCCTGATGGTTATGCATCAAATATATCGAGATGCGTGCAAACAAAGCCTCCAAAAGTCTTGGGCCTTAAAAGTCATGACTATCAAATTTTGATGAATCAACTCATGCCAATAGCACTAAGAAAAACTTTGTCCAGGGCAGTGCGTGGTCCTTTGATAAAGTTGAGTAAATATTATAGAGAATTGTGCTCTAAAGTTATCAATCCAGAATATACATTCAAGATGGAGAAAGACATTAGCTTAATATTGTGTCAATTAGAGAAATTGTTTCCTCCATCATTCTTTGACGTCATGGTTCACCTAAGTGTACATTTGGCTGCCGAAGTGAGAATTGGTGGACCTGTTCATTATCGGTGGATGTATCCTATTGAGAGGTACTAAACTAAATAATTAATATTGTCAATATTTTATTTATTTATTTTTATAAATACATGTTTACTGAACCTAATTTTTTCCTTGTGTAATTGCTAAGGTACTTGTGCACATTGAAGTCATATGTTTGAAATAGAAGCCGACCAGAAGGATCTATAGCAGAAGGATATCTAGAAGATGAGTGTTTGGCTTTTTGTTCATTGTATTTTGCTGAAGGTGTCGAAAATAGATTCAATCGTAGGAATAGAAATGATGATGGCATTTCTGTTGATGATACGAATTTAAATATTTTCTCAAATCCGGGTCGTCCACTAGGAAAAGGGGATGCAAAAGTGTTGGATCCCGATACACTTCGTAAAGCACACCAGTATGTGCTTTTCATTGCAGTCAGCTCAAGGAATTAATTCAGTAAGTAACACTTCTTTTCTCCTCACATTTTTAAAGTTTATATAAATGTGATAGAGGTTTAAATACAAGTTTATTTTCAGAGAACATTATGAGATTGTAAAGAGAACAAATCCTCATTTTACAAAGCATGAAGTTGAACAAACTCATAGTGAAAGTTTCGCATCTTGGTTTGCTGAAAAGGTAAATGACAAAAAAACTATTTTTAATTCTGCAATATATCCTTTTTCTTGATCATCTTCTTTTTCTGTTTATATATGAATATGCAGGCTCACTCATTCGATGATAATGACCCCATGTTGGCTGAACTGAAAGTATCGTCAAGAGGACCGAATCCTATTGGAAAATGTTATAAGCGTATTTTAGTAAATGGTCTTAGGTTTCACACAAAAGAGTTGGAAGCAAAAAGGAAATCTCAAAATAGTGGGGTGGTTGTCAGTGCAGCAACATCTAGTTTCTCAAGTACTAAGGACCAAAATCCTACAGTAGTAGATGTTGCATATTATGGGGTATTAAAGAACATACTAGAATTGAATTATTCTAGTCACAAGAAAGTTATCTTGTTTGATTGTGATTGGGTATCCTCAGGGAAAAAAGTGAAGCAAGATGAAGATGGTTTCACGTTGGTAAACTTATCATATTTGAGGCCTCACGATGAGCCATTCATTTTGTCTTTTCAAGCAAAACAAGTTTTTTATGTTGCAGACCCTAGTGAAAAGGGATGGCATGTTGCTATAGTTACGAATGCTAGAGATGTATATGAAATGGATTCACTTGAACCTGTTGATACACACTTGCAAAGTGAAATTTGTCACATTGAAGCTGGTTTTCAAGTGAATGAAGATATTATTTGGACTCGTGATGGTGTTCCTACCGTTATTGTTGAGGATAATGAAGAAGATCCTGAAGATCCTTAAGATGGTTAGTTATTAACTTTGCTTTTCATGGTCATTTGATTTTTCTGCATAACATATACATCTGGAAGTCTAAATATGTTGAGGTGAATAATTGTATCAT